TGTGCTCCGTCAGATGATTCTACTACTCGTCGGTAAATGGATTCAGTAGCTAGTTCTTCGAGCTGATCTTCTGTAGCTGACATGATCTTTTCGAGTTCATCGACAAGCAGTATGAGTGAGTTCCAAATTTCAAGGTCAGTCGCATGGTTCAGAATTAAAGTTGCTACTGGCTCAAAAGGGACCAAGTCAAAAGTCGTGGAGTACATCCAGCTTTCTATAGTTCTTAACCGTGAGAGAAGTTTTTTAACCTGAGTAGGTGTATCGAAACTCCATTGAATGTAAGCAATATACATAACAATGAGATTCTCAAGAGGATCCCGACATTCTTTTAGACTTTTGGGATTGTCGAATACTCCATCGCATGAATTGTTGAAACATACACTATATAAGCCCCGGAATGATCTCAATACTTTGTCAAGAGGTTTCTTGGCAAGATGTGCTGCAATATCCATGTTAAGAGACATAATTTAATCGCTGCGTGTGGAGAGGCTTGCGTATCGATATTCTGGAAGGAAAAGATTGGTATGTAAAGAGTAGGACTGATGAAGTTTGGTTAGTGATGGTAGAAGGGGAGAATGGACGAATTTATACATCGCAAGCTCACGTACTAGTAGCGTGTCCTAACAATCTGCACCTGTATATTCCATCATAAAATATATGCAGTTTTAGCAATTACCTCAGAAAATGGAAGTCAATATTATTTTTATTATCCCTACCATGGATCGACTTGGCTTGGACGCTTTTTTGATTGAACGATTGGTAGCGGAATCCTTGCAATAAAAGTTCCACTCCAACTAGCCAAAAAGGCCAATCGATAACTCATGCACGTCAGCCTCAGGGACAAAGTTGAGGATATAATTTTTGTTAGTAGATTACATTACCCATTACGTGGGCCAGCATTAAGAATGTATTTATTCAGGATATAAATCTTGCCAGCGACCAGTCTCCATCCGCGAAAGTAACCTGGCAAGCTGGGGACTGGTTCGAAAAGCCAGAAGCTCTTTTATTCATATAGATATCAGTAATACAATAGACTGATTCGTTCAGAAGAGACCTTTCAGATTTAAAATTGATTAAACTTTCACGTCAACCTGGAGTATGAAGTGTACCAGAAAGTCTACGGGCTTATCACATTACATGGGTAAAATCAACGTCACCGCTCGCTGCGCGGTAAAGCAAACATTGGTTTTTGTGCGCATTTTGAGATAGGTCTGAAATTCTAGACAACCTGTCGTCCGACTCTTTTCTAGGTTTGTCGAATCGAATAATGATTGAGAATGAAGACTAGGAACATGGATACAAGGCTCTGTTTAGCTTACAACAATGAAATATTGCTGTATTGCAGGTTTCCAAGCTTTCGCATTACGATATTTCTGAAATCGCATTGTAGTTTGAAAATTAATTGGTTGACTGCTCGTACCGCGTCATACATGGATCCGAATGACCCCTAATTTTAGAATTTACTTCTTTATCACAAGTACAAGTTTGAGAGTGAGAGCTTGCGGTACATTTAAAAGTTGAGGATATGAATTACTCATAACCAATCATTTGCTAGTATCTTTTTATGGTTTTGTTTAGCTCCCAAGCTAATGCATGAGGTGCACTCTGCGGCACGAAACATGGAGCCGAAGGAGATCTTTGATCACAGTCCAACTCATCCATTAGTTGTGAATTTGAAGGGGAAGTTGAGAATCGAGAACGAACCAGAAGTCCAAAACTGCAGAAATCTCCTCGCGCGTAGTATAGACCTGTGACAGTCCCCCTTCGCTACTCATTCAAAACTTATGAATGTCAATTTTTATTTCTGATGAGGGTGAAGCTGAGCGATCAGATATTATATGTCATTTGCGAGTAGCCCGCCCTTGATTTTCTCGGAAAAGAACGCACCAATATTAGCTATTTGGTTGGATGACGCAGAGGTACACAATTAGGGTCGTTTTCCCAAGTAGATCATTGGGAGCTTGGTCACCTACTTCATTTGAGACAGGATGAAACTGGTTTGAGTCCAGTGAAATACACACACCACTCTCTGTCACGGTAATGTTGTTCTTATGGGACGATGAAAGCACATTCGAATAAACACTGGTTTATCACGCTTTTCCCAGTGGTGTGTGCGTGTTTTTATTGTTCTACTTGAGTCTATGACTATCTAGCACTCTGGGCTCCTCTCTGACCCGGGTCACACCTTGTACAATGCTCCTATCCTCTTTTATTATTCGAAAGATCATTGATATATTGCCCGTGGCGAATATCCATTCCGATCAGTGTTTATCTGTGGAATTCGGATACATTTTTCACAGAATCTTCTATCCCCAAAAATACGGTAGCAATGGAAACTGCGTGCGCGGGAAAAAGACTTCAAAAACCTGCAGCCCCAGTCAGACGAGGCCTAGACACTGGGACCACATCAGGTCCGCGTATCCATCTATATCTCCCTTCTTTGTAACAGTCGAGGTCGACTGGATCCAATCCACCATCTCCGTATCGGGTGCTGGATACGCTCCGGAAACTCATCGGATAACTTCTCCTCCATGATGAAGGGTTGATGATGATAAGAGCTTCGACAGAGGTCATATCAGAATGTGGTAAGTTTCATGATAATGGTGATAGGGGAATGTGTTGAGAGATGAAGACGATACAGACCGGAAGTCGATTGGGAATCCTCGTCGGAGTGAGGACTTTGTTACTCAATCTCGGCTCTGCATCTCTATAGTAGGAGCTGGAGGTTCATAGGGGACACCACTAACGAGTATTGATTTTTGCTACCCTTTGCTTATCTAGTGCTGTGTATGGGTACGGCGACACAACTACAAATAAAATTGCCACCAGCTGATGCTCCTGTTTTCTGTAATGCTACAGCTGAAGGTATTAAAGTTCTAGGGGATATCTGGAATGATAGAAGTGAATGTTGACCGTCAAGTCAATACTGTACGAATCGTAAGATATCGGGGATTTAAGGATCAGAGATAAAAGGTTAGGATCAGTGAGGTTTTGGTTTTACTGAACTTATATTAATTCATTTTATTGTCCTGTCTGAGTCTATGATTATGTAGGACACTGAACTTATATTTAGGTAGTTAGAAAGTGTTGAGTTTAATCTACATCTAATTGTCTGTTTATGTTCTACCTCGCTTAGATAGAAAAATTATGTTCTGATTACGTGATGGAATAACATTCACACCACCGAGATCATTACCAACCGAGACCTCACCAAGACTGGTATCGATCGAAGATGAGTAGTCTTCGTCTACTCCGCACTGCGTGTAGTTCGGTCTGGTATGTCTAGATTTCAACAGAAGGTTCTCCATACTCTCGCAAGTAGTTTGTAAGCGTCTGAAATAAGATAAAACCTTGGAGGACATTACCACTCGAATTATCGGGTTACCTTAATCAGAAGCAAACAGACGAAATTGGGAGAAAAGAGAGATTAGAGTGAGAACTACTCCAACAACAGCTGAGCAAACGTTGCACGCGTCTTCAAACTAAATTCCTAGAGTAGAGGTGTCTTGATTAAAAATTCTTTAGTCCTAATAGAAATTTTCGATGGTGAACCACCCTTGATGATGTCTTTGGAGACTGAATAAGATTGGAGGTAGACTGACCATAGACATCGAATATCTGACAGCTCACCTTTGCATTCCATAGAAGTTCAGAATTGACATTCATAAAATCTGGATAAATAAAGAAGGGAGAGCGTCGCAGGTCTGAAGCACCAGCTAGAGAATCCCTCAAATTTCAGTTGAATGATTTGGCCTTCAGGCTTGTCGTCAATTTTTAAAATTTCCGTGGAAGTTCAAAACTAATGGATGAGTTGGACTGTGATCAAAGATCTCCTTCGGCTCCATATTTACTGCCGCAGAGTGGACCTCATGCATTAGCTTGGGAGCTAAACAAAACCATAAAAGGAAACTAGCAAATGATTGGTTATGAGTAATTCATATCCTCAACTTTTACATGTACCGCAAGCTCTCACTCTCAAACTTGTACTTGTGATAAAGAAGTAAATTCTAAAATTAGGGGTCATTCGGATCCATGTATGACGCGGTACGAGCAGTCAACCAATTAATTTTCAAACTACAATGCGATTTCAGAAATATCGTAATGCGAAAGCTTGGAAACCTGCAATACAGCAATATTTCATTGTTGTAAGCTAAACAGAGCCTTGTATCCATGTTCCTAGTCTTCATTCTCAATCATTATTCGATTCGACAAACCTAGAAAAGAGTCGGACGACAGGTTGTCTAGAATTTCAGACCTATCTCAAAATGCGCACAAAAACCAATGTTTGCTTTACCGCGCAGCGAGCGGTGACGTTGATTTTACCCATGTAATGTGATAAGCCCGTAGACTTTCTGGTACACTTCATACTCCAGGTTGACGTGAAAGTTTAATCAATTTTAAATCTAAAAGGTCTCTTCTGAACGAATCAGTCTATTGTATTACTGATATCTATATGAATAAAAGAGCTTCTGGCTTTTCGAACCAGTCCCCAGCTTGCCAGGTTACTTTCGCGGATGGAGACTGGTCGCTGGCAAGATTTATATCCTGAATAAATACATTCTTAATGCTGGCCCACGTAATGGGTAATGTAATCTACTAACAAAAATTATATCCTCAACTTTGTCCCTGAGGCTGACGTGCATGAGTTATCGATTGGCCTTTTTGGCTAGTTGGAGTGGAACTTTTATTGCAAGGATTCCGCTACCAATCGTTCAATCAAAAAAGCGTCCAAGCCAAGTCGATCCATGGTAGGGATAATAAAAATAATATTGACTTCCATTTTCTGAGGTAATTGCTAAAACTGCATATATTTTATGATGGAATATACAGGTGCAGATTGTTAGGACACGCTACTAGTACGTGTGCTTGCGATGTATAAATTCGTCCATTCTCCCCTACCACCATCACTAACCATACTTCATCAGTCCTACTCTTTACATACCCATCTTTTCCTTCCAGAATATCGATACGCAAGCCTCTCCACACGCAGCGATCAAATTATGTCTCTTAACATGGATATTGCAGCACATCTTGCAGAAAAACCTCTCGGGAAAGTATTACGATCATTCCGCAGCCTTTACAAAGACAACTTTCCCTCCCCGCAAGCAAAGGTATTCGGCAATCCCAAAAATGCAGACGAATGTCGAGAGCCTCTTGAAGACCTCATTCTTAAGTTCATTGCTTATATCCAAGACAGTTTCGATACACCAACTAAAGTCAAAAAGCTCTTCTCGCGGTTAAATACGATAGGTAGCTGGATGAGATCTATACCGTTTGATATGACCCCATTTGAACTAGTAGCAACTTTAATTCTGAACCATGCGACTGACCTTGAAATTTGGAACTCACTCATACTGCTTGTCGATGAACTCGAAAAGATCATGTCAGCTACAGAAGATCAGCTCGAAGAACTAGCTACTGAATCCATTTACCGACGAGTAGTAGAATCATCTGACGGAGCACAAATGAACATGGAGGATCTGAAGCAAGCTTTGAGCGGAGAGTTGGAAGGCTCGGTTTTTGTGAACGTGATCGGCTTTTGGGATAAATACTTTGAGTCAAAGCGGATAAAGGTCGAGCGTGACGGCCTTACCAAGAAATTTATGGAACTATCGGCAGAATCCAAGTTCCAGTTTCCCGCTGTCCCGACTGAAGATGCGGTATGGAAATGGATGCAGGTTATCGAGCATGACCTAATCAAAGCCTATCGAAGCCCAAGTCATTCGGCAACAAATGATGCTGCAAATACTGCAGAAGAACGGGTTGGATTAGCTTTCACTGGGGCTCAATTTCACACTCTCGCAGCCGGAAAAATCATTGGAAACCAGACAAAGCGACAGGTAGATTACTTCATCAAAAGTCGAAACCTTCCGACTGAGGACAGGCATCATTGGCGGGATATTCTTGTGGTGGGTGAACTTACGGTATCTTCATCTAAGGTTTCTCGGCAAAAGTTTCTTCAGCTCAGTGTATACATGCGGGAAGTGTTCATGGCTCAGCCACTTCGTCGATTCGTGCACGGGTTCATCCTCTTCGAGAAAGACCTGCAACTTTGGGTATACGACCGATCGGGACCGTATTCTTGTTCATATATTGATATTGGCAAATCACCAGAGAAGCTCGTGCATGTCTTGGTGACATACATGCTGATGAACGATGAGGAACTTGGTCTTGACCCCAACGTCAAATACGAAGGTGAAGATATGATAGTTCATCTCGAGGTGCCCGGGTCGAAGGATATACGGAAGTTCACCTTGGATCCCAACCCAATCTCTCAACAGAAGGCATACCTTTGTAGGGGAACAAGTTGCTATAAAGACAGAACCCTCAGCTGCGTGGTCAAATTCTCGTGGAGAATATGCGATGGGCTTTCAGAGATTGAGCTTCTTGAGATGGCGGACAATATACCTGGGATGGCAAAGATTCTTGGATCAGCTAATCTGGTAAAAATCAGCCAGCTCCGCGAAGGTCTTCTGTTCACCAAGAGCATGGTCAAAGACACTCGTCCGACGGAGAAGATCATGACTACGCCATACGACTTAAGTGGAGAGATGACACGGATTCCGAAGGAAAGCGTGAATAACCAACTGAGCCGAAAGCGAAAGAGGGAGGCACTTCAAGCTGAAAAAGAGATGGCTGGATCAATTAAAAAAGCGCGATCAATGCAAGAAAGTAGGCAAAATCATTACGTGGAAATGGAAGTTCTTACTAATTACAACACAGATACAACCGTGACCCAACAAGTTACGGAGTTGAATCCACCTGTTTCCTCATTGCAGGCGCTCAAAATTCCAAACTCTGGCAGGGCAATGATCGTGGAAGGCTCTGCTTATTCAGTCAATCAATCTTCCGGTAAAAGGAAAACTGCCGATGATGCCGAAGTAAACGACAGATTGAAGAGAGTTCAACTGTCAAGTAACGCCGGCTTAATTGCGATGAATAATTCTGCGGGACCAAGCTCACTTCCTGAAAAGGCTCCAAATCCACCAAAGTCAAGTGCCAATGCTAGATCATGTAGTACGAAAGCGGTAAAAATGGTAAACACTGAAGTCATTATTCCACGTGACCGTCAATTTACCGCTGCCGGGATCTCGCCGTACGGGCGGCCGATTGATAAGTTTAGATCGGCGCTGGAACTGATCATCGGGATTAGCGATGCCATCAAGGCGCATCGGTCACTACTGATGGACGCTAAGATATTACATCGCGACATCTCGGTGAATAATATTCTATTGACTGGCATTGAGACGAGTGACAAGCTGGGTGGTGTCTTGATAGATCTGGACTTGGCAACATTGTTGAAAGATGGAAAAGTTCAAGAAAAGGATCGAGTGGTGACAGGCACGATGCAATTTATCGCACTGGACATTTTGAGTAACAGCTTTGCGACGACGGGTGCAGTGGTCAACCACACTTACCGACATGATCTCGAGTCGTTCTTGTATGTCTTAATCTGGGTCTGCATTAACTGTGGATGGAATAAAGGCACAAACCCGCATGAAGTTTTCCTATCAAAATGGTATACAGGGACCGCCCAAGAAATACACTTACATAAGGAATACTACATCACTCTTGGTAGCTTCGAAAAAGTATTGTTTAAATTTTCGCCGATGTTTGATGATGTGAAGGTTCTAGCTGAGGAATTCAGGGACTTATTATTTAATTCAAATATAAAGACGCGAACAGGAAATCTTGAGGACCCGAACAAACTATACGAACCTATCATTGCGGCGTTTGATAGAGCTATCGAGGCATTGAAAATGTAAGTGAAAGGAATCTGTTACATCTTTTATTAATAATATTTTCTCGCTTCATAAAAGATGCTGAAGCGACGCATCTGAAACCTTCATACAATCATCAATGTTACTTATTGTTGATACTGACTACCTGCATAGATCACAAGCGAAACATCCTGAAAAAGCGACACGTAACGAACCTGAATCTCCGAAGCAAAACTCAGTAGCTAAATAGCTAAATGAAAATCAATTGAGAAAGTGGTCTGATGACAAACCTTTGTAGTGTGATAGCATGTTGGCAAACTGCCTACCAGCGAAGTGTAGAATAATGCACCTACAAAAGCATGGCCTATAACATGTTTGAAATGTAATATGGAATAGTTTTTGTTAGGCTGTTAGTCAATTCGCACAAGCTTGCCTCATAACCTATGCCTAGTTAAAAGGAAAGATCGGTAATAATTAGATTTTCACATTTTAAAATCGTATTTGGCTGAGTAGTGGGAAGAAGCACCCAATTAATTCTGCGATCGTTATTGCAGTATCTATAGTCAGATACCGGAATATTAGAGTACTCAAAAAGTCCAGCAGTCTAGAATGAATCGAAGGAGTGGTTGAATGTCTAAAATTTTTAAAACTATTCAATGTATATTCAGCTATTTAGATATGACACATGATTGGTGCAATGTATACATGATTGATGACTTTTTTGACGTCCGAGACACTTATATTCTGGATTTCTTTTGCAAATACCACTATGAGGTAAGCTTGCTTACATAAATTGTCGACCCTGCTCCGTTAGTACCCACCCAAGGGAAATTCAAAATGTCTGATTATCCATGTAAACACTCGTCATCCATGCATACTAACACCTGGAGAAATGTGGTTGTGTTTTGCTGGATTTGAACCAGCGATCTGCTGTCCTGAGTGGGATGTGTCCAGGCTATCCAGACTCTACTTGACAGACCGGCAAGACGATGTACTCCCGCACCATCCAATCATGGCGATGTTTACAGTGACGCTTGCACTCGCGCAGCTGAAGCCATTGCCCGAACAAGGCTCAATTTGTTAAAACTCATTATCTTAATTCAAAATTTCACGCTCGTCGAGGTTGTAACCATTTTTAGCATAATATTCTAAACTTGTCGTAATCCCTCTCACGTCCATCCCAAAGAACTGTCTCCCAGATTTTTGCGCCATGCTTTTTTCATTCGTCGGGTGCAAATATCGGCGTGGACGTGTATTTGGCGACCAGCTGAGGCTATAGATTGTCCATGAGAAGTGTGGTCATTGAAATGAGGATGTACTTGGTGGTACTTGCAGACTTGATGAAACTTATGTAATTGTTGTGATTGGTGTTACGGTTTGACCGTTGTTTGAACTTAGGTGGATAGTTAAGCCTGATACTAAGAATTCTTACGATGAGGCTGTATGGGGTGGAGATGAAGCTGAACGAAATGGCACTACTAGTCAGGAGGCTGAAGCGTTATTACAACTTAGCGACACCTGGAAATACGTGGCTGGGTAAGAAGTATTGTGCCTAAGGACAAGTCACTAGTCTGTAGATTCACGAGGAAGATTAACACTTATAAATACCTGTTAGTAGTAGCTAGAGTTAGCTTTTCTCGTCATATATTTGAATTTGATTTCATTAACCTGATTAGGCGCCCTATAGGCCCATGCAGGTGGCTATAAACTCTATTGATAGTTATTTTACATGAGGGGGAAACCTTCCGATAAAAATCCCTTACTCCTTTAAATTATTTCTATGGTTCTTCGTTAACCTAAAGGAAGCACAATCGGCCGTTAGTCCGTGACAGGACTTGCTAAAGTTGTAGGTGACCTCGCCATCCTTTCCCTGCCCTCGCGTACCGAAAAGTGATGACTGTGGTCTTGAGTTCGACCCCGATGGCGCAAATTGATGTGTAGATGGGGCTGTGGCCACGGGATGTTTCCACGGGCGCCCTGGCCCTCTCATTCCGACCTCTGCCTTCTGGTTGGACACCAGTGTTAACCCTTGGTTATCTTCTTGTTTTGCCGCTGTGGATATTGTTGTGGCCGCTATTATTAGTTCCTCTCTTCTTAGATCTGCCGTTCTCTGTAAAAGTCCATACTGTGCCTTCTGGATACTAGCCTTGTAGGACGCGAAGTTTGGACACGCCCCCTTCTGCCACGATCTATGGCCTTTGCCGCAGTGGCAGCAAAGCACTGCTTTACTTGTGCCCGGGGTGACCAGAGCTGGGCCGTGTACAGCATTGAGTTAAGTACAATGCCGTTTCGAGTCACCTCGCGTTGGAGGGCCTCTGTCGGCAAGCTCGCGATCACCGACCCTCGAGCATGGCCGTTCTTGTTCATCCATTGGTGCTCCTTCCCGTCGTAGAGCCATCTTAACCTGTTGATTTGGATTCCAAGAATCCGAACATTTGTCTCCGTTTTTATTTGATATATCATTCTGCTTTGGTCGGCATTTTTTCCTCCTTATATCATTGTCCCCAGTGGGACTCCCAAAATTTCAACAGGATAATCCTGCTTCAAAACGCAGAACTCCTTTGGTTGAGCCATATTCAGGGCAGCGTCTCGCTGTGAAACCGACTGCACGAACACCTCAGTGTCGTTACTCCGCAACTGCCTTACGGCATATGCTCCCTCGATGTGTATTTTTGCTTTGTTTAGCAGCTCTGCCGGCTGCATTTTGTCTATCCCTTGTACTCGTATTCTTACTGCGGCTTTAGTTGCTGGAGGTGCAACGACTGAGGCGTACGTTGGTCGCCCTCCCATTCCTTGTGTCGACAGAGGAGTCATCTTGCGCACTGGATCTTCGAGACTCTTCGTTACTGTCGCCTCTAAGGCCAGCATCCTTTCTCCCATTGGCGTCGCCTTCATTGTCGATTGTAGTGACAATGCGTGCGACTTGAGGGCGTCAATAGCCGCATTTAACTCCGCCATCGGTGCCGCAGTTGGGTTAGTACCTGCTGTAACCAGTCTGTCGCGAACCTTATTTAAATAGTACCCTATTGATTTCGTGTTATCCATGCTAACACCTGTAGATGTCGCGAGAGAATCTATAGCCATGATTGCGGCTGTTCCGCTGTCCGTTGGGGGCTTGGGTGGTGCCGTGAAGATTTTTCCTGCCTTGAAGACCACATTTCTGGCCCAATCCGCCATGCCGAAGCGCAGTGACAAAAAATCGGGGAATCGGATAACAAGGATCAATTATGATAGTAGCAATCAACGAAACGATGAAATAACGTTCGTGGAACGTTGTGCCGCTTTTGAGCAAATGATGATGTTTTGATGATTTCTCCTCTTATAGTTTATTAAATTAATTTAATCATCACCAACTCGGTTTACGTCACAATTGGCAAGTATTAGCCAAGATAGATTTTCCAATGCTACCATTTTATTTTGTGTGGGAAGATGGTTCCGTGGAAAAGGTGGCTGAATTCTACAGGTAAGTACCAAGCTGAATGGCTATTCATCATGCGAAATTCTTCTATGATCTTTCAGGAAAAATGAGAGGCAAGGAGCACTGTACAAGGTCTGACCTGGACCAGAGAGGAGCCAAATGTACTAGATTTTCTACGACACGAGTAGTACAATAAATACATTATTTGCGAGTTTTCATGCCAATGGTTTTGACGATTGCTCGACCCGTCCAGCGGCCGGAATAGAATACCAAACAAATCTTCGAACCTAGATTGCGAGCGCGAAGGTATCCACAGATTGCAAATTTCGGCAGTTTTCATAAATTAGCTTACATCTTTCCTCGGCGAGCAATCCACCAAAGTCCAGCATTATACAGGAAAAAATAGTTGATATAATCTTACGATACACCCGTTCATCTTCCATTTTCTAAGGGCTCAACCCTCACTGTCCATAAGAGCATAGTTAAAAATTGTAAAATTGGAATATAAAAAAAATGTAGCTAGTATCTTATATGTAGATTCTAGGAGTCCTCCATAGTCATTGACTCAGTTAGGACTATAATAAAAATCTAATCTAATCTAATCTTCCATTTTCTCCCAGGGCCGCAGTAAATGGGGTAATTAGTCTACATTGAGTCAGGAAGAGGGTTGGATGCTGTAGTGGTACACCATCCGGGCTGTTCTCCCAAGTAGATATTGGGTAGCCTGAACACCTACCTCATTCGAGACAGTAGAAAGCTGGTTCGAATCCAGTCAGACCCACACACTACTCTCTCTCACGGTAATATTGTTCTTGTGGGATGATGAAAGCACACTCAGATGGCCACGGGTTTTTCACGCTTTTCCCCGAGGTGGGTATGCACGGAAGAGGTTGTACGCCGTAAGGGTCAATCCCGAGTGGTATCTGCAAATGAAATCTGAGTGTGAGTATTCTAAATGTCAAATTGAGTCATCCTACATAAAGTACATATCTTCCGATAAAAACTTGCATGGACCACAAGGCGCCAAATCAGGATAATGAACTATATATATATATATATATATATTGTGAAATGACAAGGTGTGTCTAGCTGCTACAGGGGCAATCCGAGTCAGGCAGAGTCAAACACATGAGTCGCGTCAATTACGCTATTCATGCAGATCAGTCGCGTGGAGGAAAATTTGTACTTAGGAGTCTGGCTGTCTCGATCTTAGTATACTTTTAGTTAACTCGAATATCTGATTCTATCTGACCTCAATCCACTGTACTAATTCCATCGTCTTTTATACCGTCATACTGCAATAGAATTCCTCCCAATTAATAGGTTATGACCACCGGTTTACCACAGGTATAAATAGTATCAAAATCGACTCCAAAGCCTTGACGGCTTAGCCTCAGATTCGAGAAAAGAATCTACAATCGTCTACGATTCGAGCAAGGAATCGAAATTTCGCCTTGGACTAAACCTCACAAGAATGGAGGATAATGAAGCCCCTAGCCGCATCTCCTCGCTCTCAAGGGATAACTATAAGAGATGGATTAGAGAAATGAAGCTAAAACTTAAATCCAGGTCACTGTTTAAACAACATTGGAAGAATACGCGACCACGAAACAAAACAGAAGTAAAA